GTAGAGCCATAACCTCCCCATTGGCCCTGCCTTGAGTGTGACAGGGGGCGGTGCCCCACCCCCCCAATCGGCCCTACCCTGAGCGTGACTGAGGGTGGCATCACAACCTCCCGATCCGCCCTGCTCTGTGCATGACAGGGGGCGGCACCCCAACTCCCCAATCGGCCCTGCTCTGAGCCAGACCAGGGGCTGCACCTAGGGATTGGGCCTGCCCTCTGCCACCCGGGAGCAGGCCTAAGCCAGCAGGTCGTTATCTCCCAAGGGGTCCCAGACTGCAAGAGGGCACAGGCCGGGCTGAGGGACCCCCCTCCTCCCCCCCCAGAGTGCACAAATTTTTGTGCACCGGGCCTCTAGTCTATATATATAAAACCCTAAGCGACTGTTCGACCGTTCAACCATTGGACAGGTTGCTGTGACATGCACTGACCACCAGGGGGCAGACACTAAACTAGGGAGCTGCCCCCTTGTGGTCAGTGCGCTCCCACAGCGGAGCTCCGCTCAGCTGACTGACAGGTGCCAGACACAACAGTCTCTGCTGGCAAGCGAATGCAGCTGCTGCAGCAGCGCAAGCCTCTCCTGCCTCTGCAGCAGCACTACTGAGCGGCCGCGTGGCGGCAGGAAGGCACTGCGGGGTCCCAGATGAGCGGGACTGGCGAGGCACCGGGCCGGGCTTGGGCTCCTCCCCAGCGCCTGCCACTTTGCGCGCTATTACCTCCCTGGGGGAACGATGGCCTGCCGGTTTCAGCCCTATCCCAGAGGGGTCCCGGATTGTGAGAGGGCGTAGGCCAGGCTGAGGGCCCCGGATTCATGCACCGGGCCTCTAGCTTTACTAAAATGTTTAACAGAAGTTATTCTGGGGTTTTGGTGCCAACGCCCAGCCGTTCTGTAAGTTATCCAGGAGAAAGTCTCGGAGTCGTTTTGGGGAAAGAAGTTCTACCCCGATGCCGTTCCTGTCTCCTGGAGGGATGGGTGTTTGGGTGTGATCTTGTAGCTGGTTTAGAATCTCAATCAGGTTTTCTGACGTAGAACCAGGTCGGGATTAAAATTATATGCCCACTTCCAGAAAACTACGCACAGACATCTTCCTTGCAGCGAGGCAGTGGGGCAGGAGCACCCTGACGCCCGCCACAGGGCGGGGTAAACAGTTCTGTACATCCATGGGCGGAACGCTATGACACGGATCTATCCTCCTGCGTCTATATACAATGATATCAGCGATAGATTCCCAAGTGAAAAAAGTAAGATGTAGCAAGTGTAAAATAGTCTGCAATTTGAATAAAAAAGAGGGGCATACAAGCGCTTATATTCTTGTTTGTGCAAAAAACCTCTGAAAGTCCCCAACAGAAACCCTTGCCCCTGGGAACTGGGGGGCACTCAGGTCCAAGGTGAGGGGTCAGGCTTCCATGGCAGACACTGCTCCCGGGAGTCGAGTCACAGGGCTTAGCACCTGCTAGGAGGCATGCTTGGCTGCAAACGAAGAGGAGGCAGCAGAAGGAAAGATTCCTCTTCTTTTCCCTCAATTTAAATAATCTGCTTCCTGACTCCTGGTCCCCTGCAGCAGTTAGTACATACCCACCACCCACCACCCCCAGACGAAGGCCCCGATTTGTCCCTTAAATGGGCTTTGCCAGCTGAATCTGGCTGGTCTCATCATATGACCCAGTTGTAACTGCTGGTCTGTGAGCAGCAAGAATAACCCTTAAATAGTTACACACGTAGACGTCCATCGCAAAGGAGAGGTGGAGGGTGAGTCCTACACGAACACCGAGCGTGTTTTCATTGCTGCAGTGCTATCCCAAAGCACATTGGGTTGCCTTTTTTCTGAGTAACAATATCCTCTTATTATGGATTCTGTACTTCATTTGGACCAGAGCATTTGTATTCCTCTCTACAACTTGTTCTGGGAAACTGTGCAAATAGCAATATGGAGGCGAATAAAATTCTTTCTTATTACCTTAAAAAAAAAAGTGAGACCTTTTCCCAGAGAAAGATTTATGAGAACTTTTTAAAATTTCTTATAACAGATTCTAAATAACAATTCTATAGAGTCATAGGTTTTAGTACTAGTTTATTCATCCATTCAACCAATATTGCTGGAGCACCTATTATGTTCTGAAAGTTGTCCTGGGCCCTGGGGGCAGGGGGTGGGATACCTGTTCCTACAGAGTTACTCTCTGTTATAGAACACTAGAGGCCCGGGGCACGAAATTCATGCACTTGGGTGGGGGGGGCATCCCTCAGCCGGCCTGTGCCCTCCCACAGGGGGAGCGGGCCTAAGCCTGTAGTCGGACATCCTTATCGCTGTCGTGGAGGCGGGAGAAGCTCTGGCCACCATCACCGTGCTCACCAGCCGTGAGCCCGGCTTCTGGCTGAGTGGTGCTCCCCCTGTGGGAGCGCACTGACCACCAGGGGGCAGCTCCTGCATTGAGCATCTGCTCCCTGGTGGTCAGTGCACGTCATAGTGGCCGGTTGTTCTGCTTTTCGGTCAATTTCCTTATTAGCCTTTTATTATATAGGATTTGATCGTGTGCTGTCATAGCGCGGCTGCTAGGAGACAGAAAACTACAACCTCCTTGTTCCTGCCATTATTTTACGGCATCAAGGAATTCCCACCTTCTTCCTCCTGCTCCTTGCGAGCCTCTCCCTCCCCCTTCATTCTCTCTGACTCTGTGTGAATCTAGCTGGTGGGGAGGGGACAGGGAGACGGAGAGGGCGCTGGCGGGTCCTAGCTCCCACTGTGGCGAGAGGCTTTCTATAAATTCCCTACGTAACCCGCTCGACGACCTGCCTTGAACCTTTTTGTGCTTATTTTTAAAATAAGGAAACTAACACAGGGACATGTGAACTTGGCCAGAGGCCACGGCTGCAGGCCAGCAGGCCGCACTGGCAGCCGGGCCGCCTGGTTCTGAGCCGCGTTCTCCCTCGGCGCTCAGGTGCCCGTCCTCAATAGCCAAGGAGAAAACCTCAGGGCCAAAGCGCCTTCTGAGCTCCAGTTCTGTGCGCCTCCCACTGGGTTCAGACAGAGATTTTCTTCATTGAAAGCAAGCGCTTCAGGTCTCGCCCACCCCTGAGACCTGCTCTATATTAACGATTTGAAAGAATTCATTTCTGAACAACGTGCTGCCTGGCAGGGCGCGAGGTTCCGTCTTAGTCTATAAGGAACGTGCTGACCGTCCAGCTGGTGTCAGTAGGACGTGGCAGGACACAAAGGGAGGTGGAGGGCATGACCTCCCCACCGCAAGGCCTGCAGTACAGAGGGGGGGCCACCCCCACGATAGACAAAGCCCGATGGGTGACTGCTGAGAACCAAGATCAACAGTAATTAATATAAATGAGAAAAGTCCGGAAGACAGAAGGCTGAATTTGGGCTCTTTGATATTCACAGGGTGAACATTTGCATTTTATTACCTACCGCTGACTCAATGGCCTAAAGCAGTGATGGCGAACCTATGACACATGTGTCAGAGGTGACACGCGAACTCATATTTTTGGTTGATTTTTCTTTGTTAAATGGCATTTAAATATATAAATTAAATATCAAAAATATAAGTCTTTGTTTTACTGTGGTTGCAAATATCAAAAAAGTTCTATATGTGACACGGCACCAGAGTTAAGTTAGGGTTTTTCAAAATGCTGGCACGCCGAGCTCAAAAGGTTCGCCATCACTGGCCTAAAGCAAACTCCCCAACCTGATAATCTTACTGTTTACTAAACATTACCCTAGGGAGGGCCACGAGTCTCACAGTCTGGATGTCTCCATGCCGACAGAACCTAAGACGACAAAGACTAAAGGAGCTCAATCCAGGAGGACTTCCTGGGAGAGGTGAGTCTGCACTGCAGAAACCAGTCTGACCAGCGGAAGGACACGCTATTACCGTTCTCGTGGGCTGTACACATTGAGCAATAATTTCTCTTGCTTGACTCCCTCTACTTTTAAGAAATAATAGTAATGGCTACAAGACGATGAAACTAAATTTAATGTCATACATAATGTAAGAGACATCCAGCATTAAAATTTTACTACTCAACTCTCTCCAAATAGCCCATTTTGTCTCGGATTTTTCCGAATTCTGACTCATCCTGTGGTCACCTGCTCACTGAGCTCAAAGAGAGGAATCTGCAGAGCAATGTAATCACACACAGGCGCTGTTTCCCATGGAGTTTTTCCTTCTCTTAAAAACATCGTTATTACAATCATTGAAAGCTTTGCTTCGTCTAGACCAGTGGTTCTCCACCTTCCTAATGTCGCAACCCTTTAATACAGTTCCTCATGTTGTGGTGACCCCCAACCATAAAATTATTTTCGTTGCTACTTCATAACTATAATTTTGCTACAGTTATGAATTATCATGTAAATATCTGATATACAGGATGTATTTTCATTGTTACAAATTGAACATAATTAAAGCATAGTGATTAATCACAAAACAATATGTAATTATATATGTGTTTTCCGATGGTCTTAGGCGACCCCTGTGAAAGGGTCGTTCGACCCTCCAAGGGGTCGCGACCCACAGGTTGAGAACCGGTGGGCTAGACGATTTAGAATTTCTCCTCATCGTGCCGTGTCTGTAAGACATCTTACTTACGTGGTAAAAGCAGCGTTTACTTTAGCCCCAAGGTAGTAAGAGTACAGGATGAACATGCCAATCATAAAGGCGAGAAACACCATGATGAAGAGGACCATGAACTTGAAGATGTCCTTCACGGTCCTGCCCAGGGAGATCTGCAAGGGGCCGAAGCTCTCGTTGGCCGGGAGGATGTAGGCGATCCGGGAGAAGCTGAGCACCACGGCGATGGCGTAGAGTCCCTCCGATATGATCTGAGGGTCGGAGGGGAGCCACTTGTCTCTGGCTGGAAACAGAGAGGGAGGTTAAAACCGGCCTTTCCATTCATGGCTAACTATGCAAAGCCAAGGCCTCCAATAGGATCTACCTTGTAGGTAGGTGGTTCATGTCTCTGTCGAAACTCTTCTAGATTTAATGAACGGTCTGGGCTCTATTTGACGTGTTAAAGCAGAAACTGGAGAGAGCGCCTGGGAAGGCACATGAGCATTTCTTTAATTATTGTCAGCTGAGTCCAGTGGCGTGGGCCGAGCCACGTCCTGGAAACATACCGTGCCAGAGGCAGGTATGTTGTCAGCCTGACTCTTTAGCTCGGGTGCCAGGGGGTGGGTTTCATTATTTAAGTTCAGCCAGGCACAAGGAACGCACACAATTATCCGGGCTCAGCCAGGAGTGAGGATTACAAAGAAGCCACAAGAATGAAAAATTACAGCTTGATCTTAACCATGACTACAGCTTGATCTTTAACCATGATTTCTCACAGTTTCCTTTGTCTTAAACTCTAGTAAAACTTCCTGGAATCATGCTGTATAAAATAAACCCACTGCACCGGCTCCGGGTCACTGACTCTCCATCAGAGGGCAGCGCCCCACCCGGTCCCAGCTTCCCCCTCTGTCTCTGCGTCTGTCTCTTTCATTTTCTCATTCCCCCGTCGCCCCTACTCAGGACTCGTGTCCGCTCTCTAGCCACGCTGGTCGCAGTCCAAGAGAGAAATAATTATAAGAAACGCATGAATCCCACACTCAAGCGAGTTACTCCAGTGGAGAAAACACTGCTGTGGAGGTACGAAGCTGACTTCGCATTGAGCAGAAACAGAATGAAGTGCGAAGGATGAAGGGGGTTCAAGGCTTCATGAGACACAGGCGGTCAGGATGACGAAACGACAGGCCTGACCGATGTCCCCCCAGTTACCAGGTTTATCGGCCAACAAGTCTGTCAGCCTATAAACTCGGGGCACAGAACTTCTGTATAGCGTGGGCATCAGTTCATCTCGCAGTTAATGAAGTAAAACATCCTAATAAGAGACCTGAGACTGTCCCGGATCACAGTGGTACTGTCGATGCGGTATCTGAGCAAGATACCCTGTTCCTGGAAAACGAAAACTGCTACTGAGCCACAGAGTCTAACGAGGCCCCAGCATATTTCCAAGGTCACTTCTCAAGGTCACAGCAGACTATTTCCCTGGAAGGCTGATGAAGTGCGATGCGGCTGATTTTGTGTGAACTGGGCCGTTCCCAGAAGAAGGCAGGCATCGCACACATTTGCAACAACAATAAAAATGGCCATTTATTGAATGTTTACTACGCACCAGGCACTGAGATTTCAACAGCCCCACAGACCTGGTGGTGTTATTACCCTCCTTTCCGAGATGCAGACACCAAGGCGCGGAAAGGTGAAAAACTTGATCAAGCCCTGACCAGTTTGGCTCAGTGGCTAGAGCGTCGGCCTGTGGACTGAAGAGTCCCAGGTTCGATTCCTGTCAAGGGCATGTACCTTGGTTGCGGGCACATCCCCAGTAGGGGGTGTGCAGGAGGCAGCTGATGGATGTTTCTCTCTCATCGATGTTTCTAACTCTCTCTCCCTCTCCCTTCCTCTCTGTAAAAAATCAATAATATATATTTTTTAAAAAAACTTGATCAAAATCACACACATAATAGGCAGTGTGGTCTGAATGCACAAATCTCCCCTCAGATAACAGCCATTAAGGACAGATGAATACATGTAAAGAAATGGGTGATCGTGAACTGAAGTATGTATTACACAAAAATACCACCAAGTTAATTACAAATGGTGATCATTTGTTTCTTTGATCTGGTAGAGAAACCTCTTTGCTCCCCGACTCCAAGGCAGCGCGCTTAGATGTCACAGGGTGTAAACGTACATCTCGCTCTGGAGCCGACGCCCAGCCCCCTTCAGGGCTGTTAACATGCTGTGCGTCCGCACTGCAAGGCAGCCGCCATGTCACGTACAGGCTACGCTTCACATCGGAACACGCGAGAACTCTGTGCCTGAGTTTCCTTAGCTGTAAAACGAAGGCGGGACCGTAATTCCTAAAGACTTTTCCAGATTTGAGATTTTGCAACGATGGGAACATTTGCTCGTTGCGGGCGCCTGACCCTGCCTCAGGGGGAGGGAGGCTGCGGTTCCCCAAGGTGGCGCGTGCTGGGAGGGCAGGCGTCCGGGTCCTCATGCGCTGGGCATCGGCCGGGCCGCGCTGCTCTGGTGACACAGGCGTGTGGCACCACCGCTTCCCGCACCACCTGGAGGAATAACAGCCTCCTCTCCAAGACTCTGCCGGTTCTCAGAGCCTGTGATCTGGTGGCCACTCTGTGCAGCTCACCTGTACAGGTCAGACCTCGAAGACATGCTCTCAGGGACTCCTCTTCCACATCCATCACTTTCTCCAGCTACTTCCCCTCATCAAACAGGCGCATGTCCTCAGAGGCCCTGAGAGCAAACTATGTTCTTACACTTAAAGGTAATTTTTCTCCCTCCTGCAGCACCTTCTTTTTATGGATGTGAAAACTAAGGCACAGGGAAGTAAATGGCCTTGAACACAGTCACCCAGCCCTGGAGCATCAGCCTGGACAGGAACCCGGCTCTGAAGCCCATGCTGTCTCCACCGTCCAGAACCGCTCAACTCACCTCTCCCACGCGCGTCCCCTTCCGAAGGCGGTTCCCGGCGCCTCCGGGAGCACGAGGACCCTGCAGCGAGGGACTCACCGTAAGTGAAATACTGTATCTCCGGGGGCAGACTGACTGCGCTGAGGTCGCTCTCTTGGACGTAGCTGTCCACATACTGCTGCGCTTTCGTCGCCTGGAGGAAAGCCAGGAACCTGGCCGTGAACGCGGCGATGAAGATGGACAGCATCCCAAAGTCCAGCACGTTCCAGAGCTGCACGATGTACTCCCTCGGGCCTTCCAGCCAGAGCTCCTTGCACTCGGACCACATCATTCCTGCCAGGACACACGGGGGACCGGGAGGCTTGGCGGCTCAGCCTGAGCCCCTCCTATCGGGCCCACCATCAGCCCCATCTCTACACCCACCCCATCTGCGGAGCACCGTGCTGGGGACCACGAAGCAGATGCCCGGCTCACTGGGCAGAGGTGATGGAGGAAGGTCCCACAGGAATGACCCCACTTTAGAATTCGGGGAAACACCTCCACCCTTGGGCCCAGCAATGCTGCCCCTCAGACAGAGGGGCGGGGCCAGAGGAGGAAACACAGGAGGAAACACACCAGCACCGGATTTCACCCCAGGAGGATTTTGGAGGAGGAAGAAGCCTATATAATAAAAGCCCAATATGCAAATCAATATGCAAATCAACCGAATGGCGGAATGACTGGTCGGGGTGGGGGGCGGGGCCGGCGAGCGGGCAGCACCCGGCCAGCCACGGCGGGTGCCAGCGGGCAGAGGGAGGGGACGGCAATCAGGGGCGGCAGTGGTGGCGGCGGGCGATGGCAGCCAGGGCCAGCTGCTCGCCTGCCAGCGCCGTCCCCCAATTGTCCGACTGCGGGGAGCGGGCCTAAACTGTCAGTCAGCCATTCCCCCCGAGGGCTCCTGGAATGTGAGAGGGTGAAGGCCAGGCTGAGGGACCGCTCCGCCACCTCCCCCGCCCCAAGTGCACAAATTTTCGTGCACCGGGCCTCTAGTTCATCTTTATAAAATGGCATTGGTTCATTATCGAGCCCTAGTGATTAGGGGAGAAAGAGCCGCCACATGAGCATTGTACTGAAGACTTTTAACAAGAACAGCTTCCCCCTCCCCCACCTGCCCTAGATGGTTGGACTCAGTGGAAAGAGCATCAGCCTGCGAACTGACAGGTCCCAGGTTCGATTGTGGTGTAGGGCATGGACCTCGGTTGCAGGCTTGATCTCTGGTCCTGGTCTAGGTGTGTGTGAAGGCAACCAATCGATGGGAAAATATCCTCAGGTGAGGATTAATAACAAAAAAACAGCCTGCCCACCGTGCCTCCCTCACTCCCTACCCCTCCTCCTTTCAGCTCCACGCTGGGGAGGGCAGGGGTGTCGCCGGGGAAGAAAGCTCTTCAGCAGGGAAGCCTGGAGCCTATGAAGAAACTAAAAGCAGAAAGGCCGCCCTCGGAGGAGAGGACACACTACTCCTCGTCTTGACTATACGGGGAAACTACTGTGAGTTTTTAAAAGAAAGTCAATGGCTCAAAATAAAATGTGTAAAAGAACTACTTGTCCCAGATCGAGGCCACAGGAGTGAATGAGAGGGAGGAAGCGACCTATTAAATCAGGAACTGAGAAGACACCAAGAAACTTGCTGGGGGAAAGAGAGAGGACACATGAAAAGGACTTTGGATTAGCGATCAATAAACTGGCTCCAACCTCCGTTGTTTCTCGCATTGCCCAAGATTTTTACTCTAACACAGCTAGCTATTCACAAGGGCCACCGTGAGACAAAGTAACTGCACTCTGAAAATGGACTCTCCGATCAGCTCTGAAACGGAAATATCCATGTTCTTCAGCATCAGCTAATAGCCACCGGAGGGGGGGGGGTGTTTACGCCACAAGAATTCAGTGAAATATTGGATCATCACAGTGAGTCACATTAAAAAACTTCCATTTTACTCAATAATCGAAGTTAGATTTCAGGAACATAGTATATTAATGTTTTTATGTTACTCATAAAAATTTTAAATTTAGTATTAGGATACCTGGTGGCATTATCAAGCTGTCAAATTATTGGGTGATTTTGCTTTTCTGCTAATCTAACAATGGTGATACTGCCACCATATATGTAAAATAGCATTTTAAATAGAAGATGACATTGGGGTGGTGAACACACAACACAATATACAGATGATGTGTTATAGAATTGTATACCTGAAACCGATATTTTATTGACCAATGTCACCCCAATGCATTTAATAAAAAAAGAGAGATAATGATGATCATTATGTAGGTATTGGTTTTTGTTGGTTGGTTGGTTAATCCTCACCCAAGGATATTTTTTCCATTGTTTTTGTTGTTGTTGTTGTTTAGAGAAAGTGGAAGGGAGGGAGGGGAAGAGCCAGAGAGAGAAACATCCACGTGAGAGAGGCACATGGATTGGTTGCCTCCCTCACATGTTCTGGACCAGGATTCGAACCTGAGACCCTTCGCTGCTTAGGCTGGGGCTCTAACCACTGAGCTAGACAATGTTTTTGGTGGAAATCAGAGCCCTTAAAATCCAAGGCTTACCAAGGACCCAAACCATTATGAGCATCTCGGTCCACGTGAACTGGGTGGTCTTGACCCTGAAGATCTGCTTGGGGTAGTCGAGGACCGTGACGTTGGGCGGCGTGCTGACGCCTTCGAACCTGTCCGAGGCGTTGAACACAAGCAGGCCCAGGAAGAGGATGAAGGAGGCCGCGTGCGCCACGAACTTCATGAAGGGGCTGCGCAGGACCTTCCCCAGCTGCGGTGAAATAAAAATAAACACGAGAAAACTGACTTTTGCAAATCTGGCTCCTCCTTCTGAAAATGACTCTACAGGATAAAAAAAAACAACAACAACCAACAGATGAAATGAGAACACTTTCAAAGCTTTGCTTCTGTGTCCGACAAGCTATCCGTTATAAAAATGACTCCTTTTCGGGGACGCCTCCTCCAAAAAAATAACTTAGAAGTCTCCACACTTCCCTGTTTCTAAATATCCCATTGTCTCAGCATTGCTGAAGTCACAGGGCACGCCCTGGTGATTCTGGTTTCTACACGGGATGACTATGCAGCGTCAGGGCTCTCAGAGTCCGGGAAAAGCAGGCCCAAGTTTGTAGAGGGTAATCCTTTACTGCGGTATCCTTGAAAGGTTGTGATAAATTCGTAGACCCGTTCATTTACAACTGAGATGTTATGACGTATCTGTAGCACATTAATAACACTTGGGAGATTAAAAAGTCTTACTACTGCAGAAGTAAATTTTAGTCCCCTTTTCCAAATGTTCCAAAATCAAGCTGGGCTCCGTGTGATAGAAAAAAAGGCAAAAAAAAATGTTATAGTCGGGATAAATGTTGTATCTGTTTCTATCCCAATTAAAAGGGGGAAATACACAATGATTACCCCTCTACGTGGGTTAATTTAACTGAAAGTCATCCATCCCCGAGTTTGGAAAATCATATAAATAGTACAAGAGCACCTTTTATAACTTTCCTTTAGAACTGCTTTAAGGTCGCTCCTTTCAAACCCCATGTGACAGGATGTCCTGGGAAGCCCCATGTTCTGGGAGAAACGAAAACAATTCCCCGTCCCCAGGGCCTCCGCGGGCGGCGGACAGGGAACACTCGGTAGGCTTAGCAGAGAAGTTCTCCATCCTTCACACTCAAACCCCACGTCCCAGCTCAGCCTGTGGCCTCGGAAAGCCCCGAGGTTCACATTTAAAGGACTGCAGACTCCAACCGGTGTTTTCGTGCATCCACGGCCTTAACTTGATGTCAACAACCAACCGAGAACTGGCGAGCGCTTCTGGGGCCGACCACGAAGGCACGCAGACCCCTGTTTTCTACAGGGAAATGGACACGACTCTCACACATCACTGTGCTGCTGGGCGGCTGCGCTTTAGGGGGTGGGTGGGTGAGGGGGGTACAGCTCCTTTCCTTGGGCGTAGCCAAGTCTCCAAAAGTTTGGTCTTTAAAAACTTCAAGTAACATGACAGGGAAGCCGCATGCCTGCACTGCAGATGGGGTGTGTGCAGAGAATTCTTGCCGGGCTGTCCTGTCACCATCAGGTGATGGGAGGTGGCAGGTATAAATGTGGGTAGGAGCCACTCTGTCCCCTCCACCCCCCTCCACACTGAATGCTGTTCCCACGCGGGGACCTGGGCTTCTATGAGTGAAGAGAAAAGGGGGAGTGGACTGCGGGCGCCCACTCGGACCTGAAGCAAGTTCCCACGACCGAGCCGCCCTGAGGGACAAACACGTATGAACCTGAGCTCCCGCTCCTCTGCCCCAGAAAGGGAAGCTATTTGGGTGGGATGTGACTTTCGCTTTAAGGCATGCTCTCTCACAGTATTTATAGTTTTTAGTCTTAAGCGCTCATGCATTTGAGGGCTCGTAAGAGACTTTTCCATGATACATAACCAAGGAACTCAGTCGAGCCACCGAAACGGATCAAAATGACAAACTTTCTGCCCTGAATCGCAGGGGCAGCTCCAGCATGAGGAGGTGGATGGATACCCCCCCCCCTCGCTCCCCCTTCCCCCGCCCCCTTGCATAAAGGTGCTGCAGAGCAGGACTCTGCAGGGAGGCTGCTGAGCCAGACAGATGACGGATGACGGATTTCCAGGGTCGCTCGTCAGTGGCCTTGACTCATTTTTTGCCTGAAACTGCCTCTGATTTAAACAAAACCAGATTTGGGAGTGTAAAAACAGGATTACGGCATCTCAGAACAGCGCCTGACCCTGGCAGTGGCCTCTATGCGCCTAAGGCAGATGCCCTAAGCTGCCCAGCACCCCTTCCCCGTCTGGCTCAGTGGTCCTCTTGGGCATAGTCAGCTGAGCTTTACACTGGCACGTGGGGAGAGGGAGAAAAGTCGTGAACAAAACGATTCAAGCAGAATAAACAAACCATCTAAAATTCCCAGCCCCCAGGCCCCCATGCTACACTTTCCCTCCTTCTGAAGAACGAAGAGCTTGGGGAACCTGCGTGCACTTTCTTGGACTCTGGATAACACGTCGGCAACTGCACTTAATACACTCAGCCACGTGGCGTGGACAGGTCCAGGCAGCGCCGCCCGCCGGCTGTCAGGCTGGTGGGCCGAGGACCCCCTGCGGCCGCGCCGCCCCCTGCCCGCCCACGGCTGGCCCGGCGGCTCTCTATGGATTAAGCTGCCAACAGAATGAGAACATATGCAGCTTCACTCCAGCAGCAATTTTATCTTAAAAGCCAGAGCATCATGTGCCTGCAAAGGCCACCCATCCCCCTGCCCCGCGTCCTCTCTCACCCCTCAGTGGAGCCGACCCAGTGACTCAAAAGCAGCATCCTGTCCTGGAGGCAATTAACACCGAGGGTGAGACCGACAAGAGCCTTAAGCAGGACGCGTTCTCCCTTCAAGAGGACATGCACACCAACCACAGAGGGAAGGGGTCGGAGAGCTGTACCCGGCTGCACGGCGCGATCCAGTAGCCGATGGCGAGGAACGGAAGGCCCAAGGCCACCACCAGCACCACCAGACACTTGATGGCTATGGTCTGCTCCCGCAGTCCTGACAGGTTCTCGTACCAGATGGTGAGGAGCTGCTGCTGGCAGTTGGGGTGAGCCACAAACTGGGGGGAGAGAGAGGGAGGCGGGTTACCACACATCGTCCACAGGGCAGCTGCTGGAGGTTAAGATGAACATCCTAGACATGAGTGCACATGTTCCAGAAGGTACGCACTGCAGGGCTCAGTCCCATTCCCGCTCACCTTCCCAATGGCTTTTCCAAATTGCTTTGGAACTAACACAGTGGTTCTCAACCTTCCTCATGCCGCGACCCTTTAATACAGTTCCTCATGTTGTGGTGAACCCCAACCATAACATTATTTTCGTTGCTACTTCATAACTGTAATGTTGCTACTGTTATGAATCGTCATGTAAATATCTGATATGCAGGATGTATTTTCATTGTTACAAATTGAACATAATTAAAGCACAGTGATTAATCACAAAAACAATATGTAATTATATATGTGTTCTCCGATGGTCTTAGGCGACTTCTGTGAAAGGGTCGTTTGACCCCCCCAAAGGGGTCGCGACCCACAGGTTGAGAACCGCTGCTCTAGAAGAACTGGCACTCCTTGCAGGCCTTGTCCTTCTTCAGAGAGCAGAACGGACTAGTCATCAGGCCAATGCCAGAGGATGCCCTTTGGAACTGGGTCTGTCCTTTGAATGGCCAGGTGCAGCTTGCCCAGGCTCAGGAATTATTCAGGGTCATTCACAAATCAACTATAAGTGCCAAGATATTTATTTTTGTATTGATTTCAGAGAGGAAGGGGAAGGGAGAGATAGAAACATCCATGATGAGAATCATCGATTGGCTGCCTCCTCCACACCCCCTACTAGGGATCGAGCCCACAACCCGGGCATGTGCCTTTGACTGGAATCAAACCCGGGACCCTTCAGTCCGCAGGCCGATGCTCTATCCACTGAGCCAAACCACCTAGGTCAAGTGCCAACACATTTTTTAAAAAAGAGAGACTTTAGCAGCTCTAAAGTCCCACCAGGCAGAGGGCTCGTCTCTAATCAAGTCCTAGTTCCCGATCCTAAAGCTCCGTAGTGGCTCTAGGCAATTCCGAACGTTATTTGACTATTTATCAAGAGCATGCCTACAGGGCAATGAAGAGGTTTCCACTTCCCGGTTTATAGTTTCTTTTCATTGAAAAAATAAAATAATAAAATAAAATAAAACCTCACCCCCCAGGGTGGGCAATGGACCCCCCTCTCGCCTGCCCTCTGGAAGCCTGTGGTGGCCACTCTGGTGGCAGCCACGGTGCCTCTTTGCAGGGGAGACAGATGTGGCTGACAGATGTGGTTGAGGATGAGTCTCCAAACACTAGATTTGAAATACTTAACTGAATTTTTTTCACTAATACAAACCGGTAGGGTTTGGGAGAGTCAGAAGTATGAAAAAGAAGATGCTATCTTTTCTTGTTTGATGAGCTCAATGTGAAAAAGAGTATTTGAACTTGCACGTTCCTCTCAATTCACTGATAAAAATCCCAGGTCCCGAGGGTCAGTGGGCACTGCCAGCCCCGAAGTAAATACGAGACCTTCTTTCCAAACTCATGATTCTGTCACTTTTCCAACGTTCTGAATTTTGAAAATAGCATTTCAAGGTCAATGCAGACATTATTTGAACTCGTGATACATGTGCGGATCTATTCAAGGTTGATGGCTTCTGGAGGTCTCTGTGGCAATTTCCCAGGATTCTTGAGAACTCCAAATTTCTACTTCTGCCCTGTGTCTGCTGGATCACTTTCTTCCTGCTTCACCCCTCCTTCTGTGAGGAATCCTCACGCCTCTACAGTCCCTGTCTGTCTCCTTCGTCATTTACTCACTCACTCACTCACTCACTCACTCAACCTTCAACATGTCAGAAGTCCCTCCCATGAGCTTAGGCTTTTGGTAGAAGGAGATAAAAATGGAAGCATTCAGCATTGCCTTAAGGGATGAGTGGTCCTGATCCGAGGCACACAGCAAGCTATCAATAAATGTGAGAAAAGCAGAGATTAAAAAAGGCAGTGAAGTAAGTGGATGCTACATAGACACACTCCCAGGACCAAACTGGAATTACAACTAAAATAAAAATAAAAAACCATCTTGAATAATCAGCCGAAGACTAGTTAGAGAGAACCCTGATAATCACGGACTGAGGTGGAGACCTCATAGAGACTGGTAGAAGGGGCAGAGGCGTGAAAGGGCTGTCCAGGTTCAACAAACAGCAACTGAAGTTCCAGAGAGATATCTCAGCTGTGGGGGTTCCACTGAAAACTCTGGGGTCTAATCCCCAAGCTGGGCCCCCCAGCAGAGAGCACCAGAATTGAGAAGGGTACCCACACAACATCTGGCTGTGAAAAGCAGCACGTGGGGTTGCTGTCTGCCAGGGAGAGAAACGGTTGGAAATTCAGGCACCCTCTTAAAGGGCTAACACACAAAATTTTCTGTGCAGCCACCCACCTTGTGCTCCAGCAGAGGGAAGGGCAAAGTGGACTGGAGTTGTGTGAGCAGAAGCCAGGATTGGGGGTTCTGGAGTTAGAGCTTGGAAAGCGGACACCCCAGTTTCCTGTGCTGAATCATTCCCTCACGCTGGGGAGGTCATCTTTCTCATGCAGACCTTTGCTATGCAGGTGGTTTTTGCCTGGAGGTAATGCAGTTGCCCCACCCTATTAGAAAACTCCTTGCCCCAGCACTTGGAGTTTCTGAGGCCCATTAAGAGACTGAGAATAACAGCCTCCAGGCAGAAGCAGTTGCCCCACCCTGTTGAAAAACACTCTTGCCACACCTGTGGACTATTGCCTGAGGGCAACTCAAGACACAATTCTATCAGTCTGTAGACAGAGGCGGTCTCTGGAGGCTTTGAGTCTTTGCCTGACCTAATTAATCAAAAGCAGCGTTTGACACTGTCCTGCACTAGAGATTGAGATGGGTAGCAGATCTACCTAATAAATGTGAGAAAAGCTATTAGAATGGAGACCTGGACTCATATGCTTGTCAAGATAGTCAGCATTTAACACAGTCTTAATTTGAATGTTGGTCCAAATTCCTTGATGTTTAGAGGGTCTGCATTTTTGGGAAGTTGGATGGATGCAAATAAAAGGCAGACCTGTGACTGCAGCCAGGCTTGGCTTGGCATGGGGAGTGGTGCATCCTGGGAAATCCACAGGTAGAGGATGTGATGTCAGCAGATCAGATTACCTCTTGGGAAGCACTTTTTTATAGGCCAAGGGTTTGCTCAAGTCAGAAAATGCCTACAGAGTTAAAAGACAGGTGACGTGTCCGTATGGAATTGGTGGACAAATGTCCCTCTTATAAGTGTCCTTGGTAGGTTTTGAATTCTCAAGGGTCTTTCATAGCTTTTGAACTCTCAAGGACAGAAGTACTCATGTTGTAGTATGGCTCCCTCTTCCCACTCCTGCTCCTCCTCGAGCTGCTCTTTAAACTTGAAGATGTGCTTTATGGCATTAATTACACTGTATAAGGAAGATTACATAGCCTCAAAGACTTGATGGAAATCCATCCTTTCCACGTGGCACAAGGGGGTGATCCATCTTTGACTCACTGTGACTTGTTCACATAGTGCAGATCCTTAACATGTATACTTCCTATATCACTAATTTTTCCCTCTTCTTAATTGAGATAATAAACACCACTATATGGCACCTGTTGACTCCCCCCGCCCATTTATTTTTAGAGAGAGTGGAAGGGAGGGGTAGAGACACAAAGAGAGAAACATCAATGTGAGAGACACACTTCAATTGATTGCTTCCGCACGTGCCCCAACCGGGGCCAGGGATTGAGCCTGCCCTTGAACCGAGGTACATGCCCTTGACTGGAATCAAACCTGAGACCCTTCAGTCAGTGGGCCAATGCTCCGCAGGCCGACACTCTAACCACTGAGCAAAACCAGTCAGGGCTGTTGATTTTTCTTAATCCACAGGAAAAAAGCAAATAGGTATTTTCCCCAGTGGTTTTAAATCCTAACACGAGCATACCAGGACCATTTGAAAAAGAAAATGAAACTGATGCAACAGTCGCAAGTGAGGGCAGAAAAGCTAATCCCTCTCAGAGATGAGTTTTGCTCTTTTTAATGACTTCAAAACAGGGCGTGACCTTTATCTCTGGACTGGTTTTCCTCCTGAAGCACCCCTGCCACCACCCGCCAGTCCCAGTGGCTGGAGAGAACATGTAGGTTGTTTCCTAACGTCAGTGGACCAGCAAATCAAAATCTTTCCAAAAATAATACCCTTATTCGAGGTTTCCTGATTTAAAGGAAGAATGATTGACACAGAAAATCTCAGTCTTTCCATGGCACAAAATGACTGTGGCATGGGAAAACGCCCTTTTCCTGCCAAGTTGACTAGTATGTTGTAAACTGAACCCCCATTTGTGGCAGACTATTAAGAAAAAATCCACGGTACACTATGCTTTCGTGAAATCTGCCTTTACCAGAACTAGCTTTGTGGGGACACTGTGGTGCAGAACATGGTGGGAATGGTCCGTTTTGCTTTTAATTTCATTATTGGAGCCTCCGTTCATACAATTTAAAAGAAAATATTCCTGTGGATACAACCTAGATCAGGGGTGGGCAACCTTTTTGTGAGTGCGTGCCAAAACCAGCAGAATCTCTGACTCAAAATTCTTCTGTGCGCCCACCCTAATTTTTTGAGAACATGCTGAGCCTACTTGATATCTCTTAAGGTGTACGTATGTGAAGAACCTTGAAGAAATAAAATTCATTCGAGTGACAAAAAACACAGTCTATGATGATGAAAAATACATTTATTTTTTAATGTATACATGTACACTGATAGTCCGACAGAAAACTTTATGACTCCGTTTGATATTATCAGTGGGACTTTTGCTGCTGCATCACTGATGACAGAGATTTTACATCAGGTTTGTATTTCGTGACCTTCAGAGATATGCACGAGCTACTACTTTCATCCGTCAGGCTACTCCTATTATGAGACTTAACAAAATTCATCACTGAGAACAAAGATTCACAAGCGTATGTGGATGAAACCAAAACACTGGTCGGATCTAGGAAGGCAGGGAGAGTTAAGGCAGA